CGAAATCTGCACATGGAGGTTCACAAAGTGCTGTGCCTGCCACGAAAAGTGACAATATCATCTCATGCAAGCTTCAACAAAATGTGCACCACACCACACGTTTGGAATGATTTCAACCCGTGCTGAGCACACTCCCATCCACCAAATCGCCATTTCACCTGAGACTTGTCACGAAAACAGAGCTTCGATGCCACACCCTGAAACGCAAATCCCAATGGCACGGCCACATCCAACATCCCAAAAATACGCCTCTCCTGACGCTAATCCCAATGGAACTGCGCAGCAAACTGCGGATCTCACAAACACCTGCGCCTGTGCAGCGAAATGCATCACGTTGCTTGCGCGACATGTCATTTTCAAGCAATTCACAATGTACTTGCGGCACAAACTGACACGTCACACATCCATGAAAAGTCCCTTGCAAAAGCTTCCCCCAATGGCAGCGCCTTAGCGCCCTACTGCCAACGGTTGCAGTCACTTGTAAAGATGCCGCAAGCCGAAGCTGATGGCCTTGCTTTTGTTTCTGTGAATCATAACGCAATGGAGTCTGTGCTGTAGAACTGCCACTAGCAGCATCTGTCCACTGGCCGACAGCCAGGCGCTCGGTGTCTGTGAGCCGCACAATACTTACCAGCCAACGTAGGCACCACACGTCTGAAGCTGTAGGAACTGAGGTACTGCACGTCCAAGACACCCTCAAAGTACGGGCGGATCACGCGAAGAAACTGGCCAATGGAGACGGGGACAGCAGTGTCAGAGTCAAACGCTAAATAATGCCAGCGACGAAAACCCTCGCCATGTCGAGGACGAACTTTGTCCCAATGGCGCTTCCAGATGGCATAGAGGTCGAGACTGCCCAACGTTCGTGGGAGCGACCAGGCGAACCCATCACGGGTGCCTGTCTTGCCTTTGAAGCACCAGAAGATCATGATCGCCGTGTTCGCGCCAATGAGGTAGCTCCGCTGTACGTGACAAAAGCGAATAAGCCCAAACACCATAGTAGCGGCAGCCATCAAAATAGGCCAGTGAGCGTGCTCGGCAGTATACTCCAATACCCCCAGCAAATGAGTCACCATGCCGGGCTCAAGAGGTGCCGCCTGGGATTTGCCCTTGTCCCAACCGGGTGCTCCTGATGGGAGCAGGCTTTGAAGATTCGCCCAAATCCAACGGCACACGGAGGTTGCGGATCATCCAGCCCAGGGAGGTGAAGACACGCGTAGGTCCATGATGCTCCCGGATGAAGGTGGCCAAGGCATGGGAGTCGGGGAACGTGAGACCCAAATGATCCATATAGCGCACCAAGTCCTTCCATGTGTGGACCACGCGCTTGATAGTGGCCGCCTCGGTTCGGGCACAGATCTTCTCCAAACGGGAGTGCCAGTTGGCCATGTACTCGTCGTGGCGGGCTGGCGGTGGCGGCATCAGCGTCACCATGATGCCCAACAAATCTCTGATAAAAAGAGAGGTGACACCCCCCTTTTCGCCTGACGGGCGTGCGGGCAGCTTCTTCGGCCTGACCGGCCCCGCAAACGAAGACGGCTTTGGGCGGGCCACCGAAGATGAAGGCAATGACGTAGCCGCAGTACTGGAAGGCTGAGGAGGGCGGGACTGACGAACCGTCTCCCTCGCAAAAAGATTCCGAACCAGGGCAGCCATCCCTGGCTCACTCTCTCGGCGAGCAAGATCCCACCCATCCGCCACTGCACGTCCTGCTTCTTGAAGGGCCTGATCATACGAAGTGAACCAGAAGGCCAAATCGCTGGCGCTCTCAATGCCCACCCGAGAACACCATGTGTTCAGCTTCTCCTGCTCAACTGTGCGTCGAGCATTCTCATCAGCCATGGCTCGCGCCAACAGAAAATTCGAAGAATCAGCGGCACTGATTCTTATGGAGCGACACTCCTTTTTGGCTTGAGCCCCAAGCTGAAAAGGAGTGAGTGAACTGAATGACATCAAATAATTCTTCATCACCGACCCTGCCTACCTTGAATGAACGAATATATATTGGGTGAATCCAAGACCTACAAACTGTAGGACACTGTAGGAGAGTTTCAAGGCTTGTGGGGGAAACTACTTTTTGCGGAAACTCAGAAATTTACAATTTCTGAATGTCTGAAGGTCTTTTGTTGTTTTTCTGACTTTCTGAAATGCGTTTGTGTTTTGCATGGTTTGGCGGAAATTAATAATGTCTGAGTGTCTGATATGTGTAAACTTGGTGCGTCTTAACTTATTCATTTCTGAATTTCAGGATTTCTGAAATTCTGATTTCCGACGTGTGATTGTTGCCTCTACAGAAAACAAGGGTTTGTAAGGTCTTGGATTTGCCTAATATAATACATTACAATATCATTACTATTTTTATGTAATAGAAAAAATAAACAAACAGAGAGAGAGAGAGAGATTCCCTCATGTCCAGAATCTTTGCACGACAACCCCTTTGGAATGTGAAGGTGTGTCATGCTTTCTGGGTGAACCCACTGATAACTCCCAAACAGTTGGCATGGAACAAGAGAGAGGCCCCTGTTTCATTGGTGTTGGCAGTGTATACAGATGTATTTGGGTGTGTATTGGAATAGGCAGACCCCTGAAAGACTCTAACATCCTCTGGAAGAAGGAAAATGCCGACCCCAAATCCATTGGTTGGGGGTCTCTATCTTTCAACCCAAAACGCCCACTACCCTCCTCTACCGTCGTCTCCAACTGTCCAGTCTACCGTCTGTCCAGGGACGAACGCGCCTGGCGCTGCTGCGCTAGCTCCCGCTTGGCGTCGCACTCCAAAGACCAGGCCTGGAATGAGCCAAGCAGAGCGGGACAGCAGAGCAGGGAGGAACTGGACCTGAACATCTCGGCATTCGACATCGGAACACCATGCCCAACCGTGCATGTATGGACATTGAACTACTATTGACACTCAAGACACCTTGAATGTAGGCAATCATTGTCCATTCATGGATTGTTGGGGAATGGTTTAGCTGTTTAGCACATTTTATCACTCGAACACCCCGTCCACCGGTGACGGTCGTGATCGGACGTTCGTGCTTTTTCTGTGATCGCTGGTCACCGGGGGTGGTTGGTTCCAACAAACGCTGCCGTGGTCAGGAAGTGCATGTGACGTCCGAACCAGGTGACACCTAAATCGACCATCAAATCAATCTACTATACAGTATATATATAGATATATATATATATGAACATATTACTAGACTATCATTTACTATCCAACTCAAACATGTTGCCCTGTGTTGCCCGACGCAGCCAACAAATTATATGCAGAAAGAATCATCCCTCCAGAACATTCCAGATATCCCACGGTGGTCCAACTTCAACCGGTTGCACTGGTGCAGCTTCATGGCCCAAAGTTCAACTACCCTCCTGCAAACGATCCCATGGAAACTGAGAATTGTCCGACTAATTTCGACGATTTTCGGAATACAGTACCAACCCCAGTGGTTTTGGAGTTCCATGTTAAGCTGCAGGGGAGTAAAGAGTCATTTTTTCCGTGAGTCCTTGTGAACTTTGCAACGCACTGCTTGAAAGAAAAGAGCTTGCAGACATGCGCGCTGTCCCTTCTCTCACCCCCGCGGCACGGGGGACACTGTATATGGTCAAACAATCTAGTGAATGTACAAATATCAAGTGATATCAAGTGTTGTTGCCATTTGCCGAGGTCAAAGAAACATCTTCAATCTTCTAGTTGAAATAGTGTGCAATCTTGACAATAGAAAGCCCTTTCTCTCAAAACAAGTTGAGCCACTTTGACAGCAAATACACCCGAAACAATTTGAGAGTGTCCACTGTGTGTTTGACACTGAACTGATTCCCTTGGTTCTTTTGTAATCCCCTCTGCAACAACTTTAAATCAATCTCAATGCCGGAAAACACACAGAACTCAACAAGGAACGACATGGTCGGCCACAAGATCCCATGATACCTCCCCCACAAAATCACGTTACACCTGGTGAATGATTTTTAAAAAAATGTGGTTTAACATGGTTTAACCTTAAAGTTTAAAGCAACCATGTTAAACCTGCTTCAAGTAGCTCAGATCTAAAGTGAATGTAAGCGATTTATCAAAAGAAGTCAATGCTACCACCAAACATGCCCTGATCACGCATCTTTCGCTCGCCCCCTTGGTGCTCCCTTCAGGCCGAAGCAGGCAGAGCCACTGAGAGTCCCCTCTTCGGTGGCCGAAGTCATGTCACCTGTCTTAAGACTGTCCCGCCTTGAAACGAAACCATTCAACATCCGTCCCACTTTCTTCCATGGCTTTCGGAAGAACTTCCCCAGCTGAGATGCGTTCCTTTCGCGCAGGAAGTGGATTTCGGTTCAGTCCCTCTATCATGGACATCAACTTCAGAAGCCCTGTCCTCGCTGACCAGTCCAAGGACCCCCTCGCTGACCTGTCTGGATCCTCACCTGTATTGCCAGCTGCTTGCGTGCGTGTTGCCACGCCTTCAGCGAGGCCTGAAGAGCGCAACGAGCCGTGAACCTTCGAACTCGGATCGTAATCACCGCTCACCGACGTTGGTCATGATTCCTTCGATCCATTGTTTTTGGGACTTTCCAGCAGCCGTCGGTCTACCGCCTTAAGACTTCCCATCGTGCCTTTTTGTTGCTGTCTGGGTCGGGGCTTTCTTTTTTCGTCTAGCCCGGTTGCCTGTGTCCTTCGACCCAAAACAACATCAGTACCTAGAGAATCTCGCTCGTAAGGCTGCATGTCCGAAGACCAACCGACCGGAAAGACTCTTTACATGTCTTGACATGTCGACGTATACAGTTCCATGGCCCATGGTGGTCCAACCGTTGCGCCACATTGAGCGCTCTTGGTGACTGATCCTGATAGCGAATAACATCCTTCTCCATAATTGATCGTGCATGATCTTGCTAAGCAAGCAAGAACCCTCAATGAGCGCAACAAGACTGGGGCGAAGTAATTGATGCCAGGTTGTCTGAAGTAAGAAGAAATACCCCCACACCACCTGCCCAACCAGCCAAAGCTCCTGCCTGATTCAAGATTCAGCAAAATCCACTAAAGCATCCCCGGGGTTTCACACGGGCACGTTCAACCAAGTGGAAACAACAGGCGTTCTTTGGGTACTTTGTCTGCCCCTTCGTCCCCTCAAAGAATTTCCGACCTGAACCACCTTCACACATGAAGCCACTTTTCAATGGCGTCCACCTGCTTTCACACCATCCAGAGAATGATTCTGCACCCAACCCTCTCCATCTGGGATCGACAGCCACTACATCCTATGGAAAGATGAGAAAGCTGTTGCTTTAAACCAAGAAGAAAGTGCCCTGAGTCTGTGACGGTGGATCAATAATCTCAGAAACGGTTGAATTCAGAATGCTTGTACGCAGCAACCAAAGAACAGCGTTTCACAGTAAAGTTGAAGCCTTCGGACATTAGAAATTGGTGACGTTTCTGTTGCAAATTGTCTCTCCTGGTTTTGACAATCAGATCCCATGAGTGGATTTGATTGCTCTGTGAAAGGCGAGACCTTTGTTTCGGGCTCCTTTCAAAGGGCAATGTGTTGAGCAATGTGTTGAACTAAGAAGCGTGGTATCTTTCTGCCAAGGATATGAATATGGGAGGTGGTATATATTATATGTGTGCCCGTAAATTACAAGCCCATCCGTGAAGCACTCCCAAGTAAGGCGCAAGCAAACTAAGAAATTGATGATCTGGTGGTGACCAATTGAAACTATCCTAGAATACCCTAACAGTGTCGGAAAAATTTTTAAAGGTCCAATATCCATGTCTATACCCACATGAGAAGCATCTAACCCAGGGGAAGCCCTGATGGAATGACAGGTCCTCAAGATGTAGCCTTCCGCTCGATCTCCGGGAGCCTAGACCCTGAACAATTCTACTTGACTCTTGTGTCTGGTGTTTTTGGATGTTTTTTGTACATTTTGTGTCCACCATCGGCGGTGGACAAACCTTCCATCGTAGCACCTGTTGTCCAATGTCGTACGAACGCTGCAAAATGGTCGTCCTGAACTGGAATTCACATCCCAAATGCACTTGTTGAGTTCGGTGCGTCGGCAATGCTGTGCAGCATTCGCAGGAGAAGAATTGCAGCTGACAGATCTACAAACCATATTTATCTGGCATTCCGAAAAGGATACGCAGCTTTCTGGATTTGAAACAACAACATCAACAAACAAGACTAGAGCGGTCTTTTTGCCACCCTATAAAGGCTGGTGGGATCCGAGACTCCAGAATGGTGATCGCCAATCGCACAACATGTCGGAACCAACGATGGCATATGATTGCATCATGTGACAGGAATCCAATGGATCAAGCTTCTGGGATTTTGGAGTAAGTCCAAAACCGTCCAAAGGAATTTGCTTTGTCCGCCCAAAAGCGTCGTTCGACTCTCAAAAAAAAACACGATAAATTCTGGAAAGCCCCTATGAGTCTTTTGGATATTGCAATCACAGGGCCTTTTCTAAGAAACCTGTTGTTGCTTGACAAAGGATGCGGTTGTCAAGGGTTTGTAAAAGTTGACAGGGAACCAAACAGTGGTCCTGTTTATTTCTACCACCTGATGTCGCGATGAAGCATGGAGACACCAAACTGAGGTAAAGGTCAATGAGTCAAGGACCAGCCCAGTGAACAAGCCTCCTTCAAGGCAGGTGCCGCTTGCCAATGCTGAATCCTTCCCTGGCACTGCACTGTTTCAGCCTCGTGGTTTGAAAATATATAGATATTGGAGCCTCGATTACTTCACAAGCTGCGTAATGGGGAAAGGAGACAACTGGGAAGTCTCCGTCTGTGTGCGACCCAGGATGGCCACTACCACATGTGTCACAACCACATCTTCGTAGTACGCATGAAATCCCCGTAGTACGCTTGCCTTGTGAATGCGAAAGGATTGCACAGTATTACTCACCAACCAACCCTTCAGAGTCCGTTCGGATTGCGGAGCAGGCTCTGAAACACTAGTTCCATCAGACGGGTGCGTTCCGTTCACCATGTATATAAAGGTGTATATATATTATATAGTGGAAACTACTGCAAAGCCGCCAAAAGAACACCCTCTTTTGAAAAGAACATAAGAAAACGATTGGAACCTGGGGCGCTGGAGAAAAGACTAAACCCGATATGGAGGTGCAGGAATGCGGTCATTCTTAGTTAAGTTGTGATTCTTGTGATCAGCAGCCAGGTCCTTATAAGTCCTTGGTGTGTTTTGTTGCTTTGCCCTTTATATGTTTTGTGCATCTGCGGTGGAAAATGCCAACATCTCAAAAAGCGAAAAGAACTGCAGGCAGGCCTTATGTCTGCAGAGGGGTTTGGCTTAAACTGGGTCATGGAGTGTGTAGTCTTGTCTTTGGTACTTGTTCGATGTGTCTAAGCTTTCATCAAATTCTATCCATGATATCAGCCATAGATGTATGAAACACCAAATACTATGTTTGTATGGCACCCTTAAACATTACAGACTAAGAGTACAATGTATTTAAGAAAAAAAGCACGGCGTGGTCCGGATGTTTTACAACCACGATGGTAGACAATGGTTCCCAAGACTCAAACGGCACAAATCACAGGTGACCGCTATTGCGACCATGAAATCAAGAGAGCCCTCTCGATGGCTCCGCAGACCGACGGGCTCGAGGGGGCGCGCGCATAGGCCACGAATCATGGTCGAGGGCCAGAAAACCGCACAACCTGTAGGTCTCGCGTTGCTGCTTCGCTTCGGCGTCGATTCTTCGCTGCACGGACCAGCGGTCTTAGACTGCGCGCCAGGCAGGTTTCGGGTGAGCAAAAAGGTGCGGTGACTCGGCATTGCGGCGCTGTGAAGCGAAAGAATCTTGACGAATCCAGAGCCTGGTACGGAAGAGATACTTGGTGGGATGTGCAAATTCTTGCTCAGACGCACGTGACCCACTGACTGGCCCAAGGGTCATATCGAGTCATATCAGTTAGGAAGGAACACGGAAAAACACGTTGTGATTCAAAACAATCTTTTTTCGCCTAGGTTTCCAGAAGGTCCGAGTCCACTTGGAAACGCCATCTGTGGCTTCCGCATGCTTCCGCAATGCCACAATCAAGGAAACGAGGCATGTGCGAATTCAGGAAGGAGAGATCGGCTGGGTTGGGATGTCTCCAACTCCTTTTTCGCTTGCTGAACGCGTCGCTATTTTGAGACTGCAAGCATCCTATACCAAGCCTGGTGATTTCGTCGCAAAACTCTTCGGCGATCTCTCCATTCCACCCGCCAGTGCTACATCGGCGCTATCAGAGAACGGAAGCGCCACGGAAAACAAAATCGGATCGCTTGGACGACGCTGAGAATCACTCGAGTTTGTGGGTCTACAGTATATTCTTTCGCATGACTGCCCCTTTCACTGGAAAAGCCATCGATCATATTCGGGTTTTCTGAGCCGCCAGTTTTCTGGTGACAAGAAAAAGAAACAAAAACCCCTAAGACCTGCCGTGCGAAACAAGTGTCCTGTCGAGGTGCCGTGAAAGACGCAAGGGCGTGTAATAGTGTTATGGTGCATCTGCTTTGAACTCAACTGGGAAAAAATAGAAACATGTCTTGTGTGGTTGGTCTTCCAAAACAAGGGTAACTCAGGTTCTAGATTGGCGTTTTGGTGAGGGATGCTCGAGTTCTTCCTGACCGCCACGGTGTCGCGCTCGCTGGTGACTTGCCGATCCATTGGATCTCCCGGTGAGTCGCCCCGAATGGGACGGGGAAAGGACTCATCCGACTCGGGACGCTCTCCACGGTTCGGTTTCCACGTGGTTCATGTGTTAATTCACACCGACATAGTGTGTGCTTCCGTGCATGTGTTTGTTACATAGCTTCTTATGTACATCCTCACCTCATGTACTCCCTTTAGGGGAAGGGCATTGAGGCGCGACACAGACATGTGCGCAAGGTGTGTGTGTGTGGAGGATAAAACAGGTGTTACTATAAAATATAAAACCATGCCCAGAGCTTTCTCCACACTGACTGTCATGCTGGTCAGGATCATGCGGCTCCTGCTAGTTCCCACAAAGAGCCGATGAGCTTGAACTGACCCCTCCTCTCAAGAGAGCGGTGTGTCCAAGAGGTTCCAATCCTAACCCGCGACCTGGTCTTGTCTAGAATCCCTTGTAAAACACACGTCTTTTGTCATGAAAGGTATCAAGGCAATTAAGAGCAAAACATAGGTCTTGTGCTCACTTAGGTTCTTGGAACCTCTGGGATAGGAAGGCCGCGTCCGAAAAAAGAACTGCATGATGGCATGATTCAAAGACATCTCACAGCT